GGAGGAAGGGGAGGGGAGGAGGGGGCAGAAAAGAAAAAGGAAAATGAAAACGTGTTTGGCTTGTTTGGTTTTGATACGACTTCGTCTTTTTAAAGGTGAGAGAAGAGGCATTTTAAATGCCAAACCCAAGCCTTGCTGTGGCATGCATGGATGTGTCTCTACGTTATCCAAACATATGTGCTATTCATAAGTGCTGTTTGTATGTACGTCTACGATGTCTGTACGTGAAATTGTCTCGCCTTTCTAGCACTCTTCTCTCTTGTGCCATTCTCGAATATATCCCCACTACACACTTGCTCATAACTTGCCTGGAATCCCTGGTTAAAACTTTTTTTATTTTTTTTTTATTTTTTTTTAATAACCCAGTGTCCTTGCTAGGAGAGGTGGTAAACCTATATGGCTTGAGGTTAATCCTTATGTGCGGCTCGTAGTTTCCTTCCAGAGTTAATCATCTTTCAATCCACAGTTTAATAGAGTTTATCCATTTTTCGCTCACATTTCAATCTTGTTACATCTGTACAACAAGCTGGGAGGTAGCCTGCCAGAATTCCATTTGTGCCGTGTCCACACAACAAGCCTACTGTGCTGATCACTCACTTGTATCTGTGTTTTTGTGCTAAAATTTGTGCTAAGGGGAGAGAGTAGGAGGGCAAGGTGGAGGTGAAGATGGAAGGGTGGGGGGGGAGGGGAGAGAGAGAGAGAGAGAGAGAGAGAGAGAGAGAGAGAGAGAGAGAGAGAGAGAGAGAGAGAGAGAGAGGTGGGGCGAGTGTTTTTGGGTGTAAGAGTGTTCTTTTCTGCTGTATGAATATATGGCTAAATGTTTGTTTGTTTGTTTGTTTTCCAGAGTTCTGCAATATTCTAGTATGTGAAATGAGTGATATATAAGGTTTTCGCAAATTGAGGTTTGCAGTCAGTTGCCATTACTGTTCACTAGGGCCAAAGCAAGTTGAGGTTGTAGGAGTGGGTGAGTGTATGGCGGGGTGATGATTTTATCCTCTCTATGTCTTGTAGCAGGTGACCAGCGAATGCACCCTTTAGCCCGCTAGCAGAACTCATGATCAGGGAAAGAAAAAGAGGCAGGGCAGAGAGTTGCTCGTGTCCAGGAATTCTTCAAGTAGCTGGAGTTACCGCGCTGCAAGTGGGGAAGGAATTGGAGCCTGACTTTACCACTATGCTGATTGGCTTTGTTGTACTCTCTCTCTCTCTCTCTCTCTCTCTCTCTCTCTCTCTCTCTCTCTCTCTCTCTCTCTCTCTCTCTCT